CCCCCCCCCCTGCCTCTCTCCAACCACGTTAGCGCCCTTTCTTGTTCTCTCGTGCATGTAATTGAATAGCCTGCAATAAATCATTAAAAAATTTTATTTTTCGGATAAGGACGTATACTTTTAGATTTGGATTGATTATCGGCTTGCATGGAACGCATCGCTTTACGGCGGCGTTACAAGTATTCGTTTTGCCGGAGGAGAAAATCAGATTTGGCGTCCAGATGTGCTATTGTACAACAGGTGGCCACTTTTCAGCCTCACTATTGCCTTGATCCTCCTGCATACTCCATCCTGATGGCGCAGTTCGGCTTGGAGGGGGGACCTTTTACACATTCGCTACTTCCCATTGTTCTTTCAGGCCTTCTTTGAGGCCATGAGGTGACACCAGTCAAAGCTTGTAGTAACAACTTGTCGACTCTTGTCAAGCAATGAACACAACGATGGGGAGTAATGAGAGCGCAAAATGCCCCCATCCTTCCCCCCCCCCAAGCCGAACCTCTCCTCTAACAATAACACCGGCCACCAAGTTATCGTGCTCTGTGCGCACAAAAGTTGTGAAAGGATATCTTCATAGTCAATTGCAAAATCAAACGTACTCTAGCTCAGTTCAGTGCCAACGAAGATTTTGACTCTACCTACAAATCGAAATGAAGTTGTCTACAATACTGGCGAAGTGAATTGGGTACCACCTGGTCAGTTTTGTCAATGTTCGTTTCCTGGAAAATTTATCGTTTTTTCAATATTCACCAGAATAATTTTGTCAATGTTCGTTTCCTGGAAAATTTAACGTTTTTTCAATATTCACCAGAATAATTCCAATGAATTAAGGAATATTTCGAGCAAGCTGCAAAATGGACATAACTTATTTCCCATTTGATGACCAACTATGTCATTTGAAGGTAGTTCATTTATCAGTGCTAGCCAAAACATAAGGAAAATTCGCAGCGATTCCGCTTGTAGGGAGAGGGCTTGCCTTATCGCGACTTCTCGTGTCGTTCCATACGTGGAGGTGTGAAATTTTGTAAAGCCAGGAAGTTATAACAGTAAAACTCGTGGAGGCTACTTGTCAACCCTTGTAGACAGGGTACAGTATCGGGATGTGTTAAGTGATCAACCTTCCCCCCTCTCTCTTCCCCAGCACCTACCTACCACTTTCCTACAAGTTTCCAGCTGCCTACCAATTCTTAACCCAAAAAATTTTCCGCCGAACAGGGGGGAGGGGTGGTGAAACGGAAAAACCGCGAAAAGTCGCAACCGGGAGAATTTTTCTCAAAGGCTCATACGACCCATCATCTCCCAACAACTACCAATACGGCCCTCCCCCTCCCCAGCGGCCAAGTACGATCCTCTCATGTGTTTCAAACGACGATGCTGTACCGTGCTTGTAAAGCATGGGAAGTGGTGATAGTGCAGAACTGACCCCAAGCCAACCTGCTGTGAAAACTCTTCAAAGGCACAGCAAGCGGCGGGCGTAAGGCGTCCCCGCCCATGTGGTCAGTATGGACAGTATTTTTTAAAAGACTAGGAATTCAAAATAAACAAACAATTACAGTAATAAAAACAGTACAGCGTCATTTGCAGTTTGGTTCTTGGACATACAACGGCAACGCTCTGGATCTGCAAATCATCACGGAACCCGGTGAAGGTATAGCAGTTTATTCAATAGCTTAGTTGCCCCGTTGCTTGCAGTAACGAACGTCTGGGGGCGCAGTTCGGCTTAATGGGGGCATTTTACTGGTTCTCATCGATCCTCACACGGTGAACAGGGTACAGCATCGTGACGTGTGAAATGGTGATTTCCGTGCAACCCCCCCCACCCTCCTTCCCCAACACCTACCCACCACTTTCCTGTTTCCCAACTTTCTTTCTTCTTCCCAAAATTCCCAACTTTCTGCCCGTTTTCCCGGAATTTTCCTTATTTTCCAGTTTTCCACCAGAACCTTTCACGTCGCTTATCGACTGCGGAGGTGGGGTATATAGCACACATGAAACGAGGAACAGTCACGAAAAATCAGCACAGGAAAAAAATTTTCCAACGAGGCAACTTTCTCTCAAAGCTATATATACCCTCCCCCCCTCTCTCAACAACGACAAACACCACTCCCTCCTCCCAGTGGCCACAGTACAACCGCCTCCTCCCCATGTGGTTTCACACCACGATGCTGTACCGTGCCTGTGAACTCTTGTAAAGCTATAGAGCTTCGCCTGCACACTTGACAAGAGTCTACAAGGCTCTCCGGAGCGGGACGTGTAATGTAACAGAAACCAGCTGAAAGGCGGAAGTGCCGCCCCCCCTCAAGCTGAGCAGATCCCGACATGCACCATGTGACACGCTCCAAAGTTGAACTATAAAAGAACACTTTACCCTTCAGCTGAACGCGACAGGTCACAGGCCAGATCACAGTGGCGTTTTGCGCGTCTGTGGCGTGTTTTACTTGCAAGCGGGACATAAGAGGAAACCCAGCTATCACCGTCCCAGACCTTGCTTCGTTTTTTCAAGTGAAGGAAGTCTGGCCCTTCTGCGGTTGTGGAGTTCGGCATCTGAATTCCTGTAGGTACATGTATAGGCCGTTCTCAAGCGCCACATCCCTTTCGTCAGATCTTTCCCTATGTCTTCCCTTCTTCGTCACTCTTACCTCACTGATGCGCTCCAGGGGAACAACGGTAGTTCGTCTGAGGGAGGGGGGGGTATGAAACAACCTGCCACTCTTGAAATATTTTGAATACATTTGCTTTTCTTTTTTTCTGAATATCTTAACTGTAGTAATCAACAATGTGTGGTTCATTTCTACCTACGAAGCTGTTACTTCAGAGCCAGCCATGGATTTATCCACATATACGCCAAGCGGGGAATGGAACCTGATTAGTATGCTAACGTCTACTCCTTCCATTTTTCATGAAGCTTCTCTATAATTTTTTATTGTAGAGGTGCCAGCAATACGGGAAGTTTTCTACTCACAATGTTGTCCAGAACCTTATTCAACCGTGACATTTTATATGCTACTGAGGTAAGAATCGGAACGGAAGTAGTGAATGATGAAGTACTGACCAGAATAATGGAACAACAATTCCGAACCATTTTAATATTTTCTATTTTCAGCCATCTGCTTCCATAACATGCAATCTATTTCTCGGCGCTGTTTGGCACGGAGGGGCATGTTACACCTTTGCTAGATCCATTTGTTACTTCGTTTTGACTGACAGTTTTCACTTTGGCAAAACCTGTAACCTTTTGTGAAACTGCAAAACAATGCAAGTGAGCCACTTTGTGCACGACTTCACAAGGTAACCTGTACAAGTTTAGCTGCGCACTACTATGTGCCCCCGCTAAGCCCAACTGCGCTCACTTCTTATCGTTGGAGAGGGCGTGTCTACGGATTCAGTCGTGAGCTGGGAGCGGTACCTCAAAAGCGCCCTCAGTTCGAGAACTCCACCACCAAGGCACGTCCTGACGTTGGGACCAGTATTTTTAATAATCGGGGCACACCTCCGATTACAAAAAATAGAATTCTGCTCTCCAACGTCGAGGAAAGGAATACTTCTTGAGTGGCGCTGGAAAGGGAACAATCTTGAGAAAAAATTTTCCGGTCAAATACGACCCAATTGGCAATCTCCCTACAGACGGCGTGGTCTTGTTGTCGGCCCGTGAGGGGCGTCAACGTTTTCTTGTATCGCCTGCATTCTCATGGAAACCAATCTCCTCTGCTCTTTACCCTGAACCGGCCACATTACAAGGATACGCATGCATTTCTGAGCTCACATCCGAGGCCACAGATAACCCTTTTCCAACCCAGAGGTATATATAAAATTCGCAAATTCGTAATCCGAGAAGGGATGCTTTTGCTGACAAGGCAAAAGACAGGAAGACAGAAAAGATGAAAGACAAAAGGTTACACGGCATATCTTGGAGAAGGGGAGGGCGTGGTTGCGCACTTCTTTTCACATGCTGTGAGATGCGCGCCTCGTAGGGCATTCCCCGTGAGATACGACTGCCATCTCTGTGTGTTGTGAAAACGAAAACCATTACAATCCAGGGCACATCATTGTTTGGGATTGTGGTCGAAGGCGTTAGACCGCCCCCCCTTGTGGTCCCGTCTCGTCATCGAACTGTCGACCGTGAGAGAATACGACCCTCCTCTGCTATTTCTTAGATTTCCCCCAACATCCTACCACCCACTTTTCCCGGAGTTTACCGAGAAGTTCCTTACTTTTACCCAAAAATTTTGCTGTCTTGGAGGGGGGGGGGTTGCAGTGCATACGAAACAGGGAAAACCACGAAAAGTCAACAACCTCTCTCAACGTCTCTCAGAAGGTCAGCGAGCGAAATACGCCCCCTCCCTATTACAACGTCCCTGAAGCAAGAAAAATCAACTATCAAAAAGAATTTTTCTCGGCCCAAATACGCCCTCCCCCTCTTCCGGCGACCAATGCGACCACCCCTGTTGGTTGTTGGGGAATTCCCAACAACGATGTGCCCTGTTACAATCGCTCCAGTATGCGATACCACCAAAAGCGCAACGAATACAATATAAAGTTTCCCACGCGGTTAGGCTCGGGGGGGGGCTGAATGATATTCAGCAAAGCTTGTACAAACCACCTTGTGACGACTGGTAAATTCCTGTAACCGATACGGTTCAGTTGTACGGTTTTGCAGCTTCAGAAAATATACAGGTTATGTGGCACGCACCAGGAATAGAAACCAGCGAAACACCCCTGCCCCCTTCTCCCTATGCCAAACAGTGCCAAGCTTCCTATTTCGTCCACATAGTACGCAGTGGATAACATGCAATTGCAGTTTTGCAGACGACGATCGATTTTTTATCTATTCAACATTGTGTTCCCATCGCTACTAATATCTCTAATGACACTGGTCGGATTTTGTCTTCCTGCTCATGATATGAGCGAAAAAATTGGATATCGTAAGTGTTTACTCAGCTCAGGTCGCGTTTATACTTCAGCATTCGCGCGATTGGACGCGTAATTGTGACCGACCGCGCTCCACCGCTAATCCTTGGAGTTGTAATAGTTAGAATAAGCTCTATCCCTGCAGAATTTGAATAAGTAGTAGCAACTGTTCAATAGTTAGCGACGGAATGCGGTCGTCTCATTTCTGGAACGCGCGGCTGTATAGTCACAGTAACCTCAAACGATTGGAACGTGAAGGGGCGTGTACTGGAGCGCAGCCAGAGGAACATTTCTTACCAGTTGTAGCGTACTCAAGATGGAATTATTGGTGGAAAAGGCAACTCCCAGCGTTCCAGTCCAGCCCTCGGCAGTCTCGTTTACAGAAGTCACGACGGTATCGCTTGAGCCACAAGCTATGAATGAATGGCCTCGTGCTGTTGGAAGTAGA